ACATAAGTTAATGAAAATTCACAAGTTCTACGACAGTCTAAGATCTAAATGAATGCATGCAATCTGTTTTCAATTACATTTGGGTCTTGAGGTCCCGTTGTCCGTTCTCGGTCCTCACACGGAATTGTAGACACAAAGTCTACAAAACTCAAGTTCCCTCTTGGAACTTCAATACATCATCGTGTATCATGACCCTATGAGCTACCCAAGTTCCTGTCGTGTGCGCGATCTCACTACCGCATCTTCCACGAAACGTCAAACCGCCTCATATTCGGTTATATAATGCATGAATCTACCTAAAACATGCTTAATAACCACAACACCACAAATCACACATAGTCTCATCCTAAGCAACAATTCATCAATAGAAGCTTGAGATATTCAACAAATACTATTCACCAAGTATTCAACGCTACTTAACCAGAATCCAAATTCACTACGTCAAGCTCAATAATCAGATCATGTATAAACATATTCTACAAGCGTACATCACCACATTCATCAAGCAAGCAACATTGATACCAAAATCACCATGCTTGCACCGATTGTCGACATGTAACACGCACTGAATGATTTCACAACTAGGCCTTACATGCATTTCCATAACAGTCACCGCAAATCAAGTTCTACACCCTATACATGCATGCATGTACGTACAACTGACATTCAAGCTCAACAGATTCAATGCATGACGTTGCTACTGCTAAGACAAAAATTCTAGCATGCAAAACATGAAAAATCCTCTCAGTGTTCGAATCATCAACACTCAGGACGTAAACTCTTAGATTAATCGCGGAGGACACACTTCTCCCACAATGGATCCTTCTTCCCGAGACTCAAACAACCCGATGCTAGAGAAAAGAACTAGCTTAGAATCATACCAGAGCGTATCTGGGCAAAATATCGGAGATAAACTAAATCTTATCGCACTATCTACCCTTGGCTATACGTGGACTGGATCAGGGGTAAGAAATTTCTCTAAGTTTTGGGTCTGGAGAAAATTTTGCAGCATAAGGATAAAGGAATCGAAAGTTGATCGAGAGAAATAATTGGTGGATCGGTATTTATAGGCCAGCGGGTAAGATCTCAATCAAAATTCTCACCGACACATGCTACACATGTGCTGGGTTGAAAGGCACACGGCAAGATTGTTCCCTTGGCCCCCGACTGGGTCTACCACGTCAAAAGTGTTACCCACAACCTAACCAAGGCCCTGTGTTTCGACTACGCGCTTACCCAAAATGATCGAAACCTTCTGACGACACATATTGATCCGTGTTGTCTCGTGTCGCGGTATGACTCTCTTACTCGTGACACGTACTTATTACCTGCAGCACGTACCTGTTCGATCTAAGGAGTATTTGTTTACCCATACTCAATTTTGCTCGATAGATTTTGATTTTTCTTGGATCAAGATTCATCTCTAGACTTCCTTAATCCTGCCTAAATTGAATTTCCTTGAGGCAAAACGCTTAGAAAATTCATTGTTTACTCTGGCCGTCTTGACTAAGCTGCGACCGACTCAAAGTGTCGCGGTTAATTCCACTTAAGCAAATTTCACGCTGATCCAGATCGTTTCGTTGATCAAGCCTAAGAAAATTTCATTCACTCGAAAGTCAATCCGCTTTGCCGGCTCGATTTAGATCGCGGCCGATTAAGCTGTTCCATTGGCCTAACGTGTTGACGCCTTAGGGATTTTCTTTGATAGAAATTTCTTTCTAATTCTTTTTAAGTCCGTTCCAATGCCTCTGGCTTTGATTCTCCTACTTTTTTTGGAGTGGTCGTTTGGGCCGTCTGTAATGACCCTGTCAAGAGATCAAAATAGTTACGAGAGATGATCGAGCCAAGACCTAGTTGATGGAAGAAAAATTGTCAAGCATGATGGGATTTTAAGCACGAGGTGGCCCGAAGCACGACGTGACGAGAAGCATGAGGTGGCAAGGTACTTTCAAACTTGATATTTTTACAAAAATATAAAAGTTTACGGAAGCACGACACATCTGCTCGGGATTGACGTGCTTGGAATCCGCAAGCACGATAAATCCGCAAGCACGATAAATCAGAAGCACGACAAATCCCATAAGCACGAGGTGTCACGATCTTGTGTGACGAGTCATCGGAAGCACGACAAATCCACAAGCACGACAAATC